CCGGGCAGTGACAAAGACCAGAAAGGGCCTGCATTAGGCATTGCCCAAAGGGAGCAACTTGATTTTATAATAACCTTCATCACATTTGGGTCTGTATCAACAGGACACTCTCTCCTCCCACCAGCTCACCCACAAGCTACTTGTGATATCCTTACATTTTACAGTTTCGCTAAAGACTGTGTTTTACACATCAGGAATGTGTGTGGCTGGAGAGCTGAGTGGGAGGTGATAGATGCAGAACAAGGGCACATCCACGGAGGGAGACAAGGGCAGCTGGGAGGAAGCCACCGCCTCAGGATGAGGCCGAGCAGACAGGTTTGAATGAAAGGGTGGGGTGGGTGCTTGGTTCTGTGGAGGCGAATGAGCTTATTAGTCTATCTATCACCCCCCAAAAAAACTCCCAATATCTGCGTGGTGGCTCCAAGGCAGTCAGGTCCAGCCTGGTGTTTGCAAGTTGGATCATAGTTATTGTTTTTCAGTGTTAGGGTTTGATTTTAGGGCCTCACGCTAAGGAACAATTTTACCACTGAGCCACACCCCAGCCCCTCACTGGGGGATTCTAGGCAGGGGCTCTACCACTGAGCCACACCCCAGCCCCTCACTGGGAGATTCTAGGCAGGGGCTCTACCACTGAGCCACACCCCAGCCCCTCATTGGTGGATTCTAGGCAGGTGCTCTACCACTGAGCCACACCCTAGCCCCTCATTGGTGGATTCTAGGCAGATGCTCTACCACTGAGCCACACCCTAGCCCCTCATTGGTGGATTCTAGGCAGGTGCTCTACCCCTGAGCCACACCCCCAGCCATTTGTTTGTTTGTTTTTGTTTTGAGGCAGTTTCTCTGTGTAGCAGCTCTGGCTATCTTGGAACTTGATCTGTAGACCAAGCCTCGAACTCACAGGGATCCACCTGCCGCTGCCTCCCCAGTGCCGGGATTAAAGGCGTGTGCCGCCACTGCTCAGTGCCATCTTTTTACTTTTTAGTTTGAGAGTTTCCTCTAAATTTCCAGAGCTGGTCTTGAACTCATTCTGGAGCCCAAGTAGGCCGTGAATTTGTGACCACCCTTCCTGTCTCCTGAGTACTGAGGATAAGAGCTGAGCTCCCTCCCCTTTGGATCCGCCTTGAGACTGACCTCAGGTTTAGCACACCCCATCATTGATAGGTTACGTTTCTCCTTTATCTTTTTGTTTGTTTTTGAGACAGGATCTTTTTATGCAGCTCTTGCTGTCTAGGATCTCACTTTGTAAAAAGACTTTGAACTCACAGAGATCCACTTGCCTCTGCCTTCCATGTGCTGGGATTAGAGGCCTGCGCCACCACACATGGCTCCTTCTTTTGAAAATATAAAATCAGTCTTCCAATTTTACATGAGGTGGAGACTTGGTGGCTTGAAACTGCCTGTGCAGTGCCTCGAATCAAGACCTGGGCCTCACGGGGGATAGAAAAGCCTCTGACACTGACCCACAGACCCAGCCCTTAAACTCTTGTCTTTTTTATTTTTATTTTTTAAGATTTATTTAACTTTTGTCTTTTTTTCTTTTTTAAAAAGGAGGTATTTATTTATTTATTATGTATACAGTGTTCTGGCTGCAGGCCGGAAGAGGGCACCACCATGTGGTTGCTGGGAACTGAACTCAGGACCTTTGGAAGAGCGGCCAGTGCTCTTCACCTCTGAGCCATCTCTCCAGCCCAGGGCTTTTGCCTTTTAAACGAAGAAGAATTTAGTTAGTGATTATTTCAAATGAACAACCTCACAGATGAACTTATGTGTAGATATGTGTGGATATGTGGGTGTGTGCAAGTACCTGCCAAGGACGGAAGAGGGCAGATGGCCTTGGAGTTGAAGTTAGAGGTCATTAACAGTCCCTTGACCCTTGACGTGGTGCTGAAAACCGAACTCTGGTCCTCTGCGAGAGCAGCATACATTCTTCATCACCGAGCTGTCTCTCCAGCCCTGGGGTTTTTGCTTTTGTGTATATGTGCTGTTATATCACCTTGTACATGTGTGTGCACTCGTGTATGCAAGCAGATGCACTCACCCGCATGTGTCGTGTCACCTTGTACATGTGTGTGCATTCAGAAGCAGAGGACAATGGGATGCCCTCCTCTTCCTCCTCTATTTTTTGTTTTTTCGAGACAGGGTTTCTCTGTGTAGCCCTGGCTGTCCCGGAAGCTGCTCTGTAGACCAGGCTGGCCTCGAACTCAGAGATTCCCCCCACCTCTGCTTCCCCAGTGCTGGGATTAAAGACGTGTTCCTCCACGGCTCTCTTGGCTCTACCTGACTTTTACGTGACAGTGTTTCTCTGTACCTGGTACTCAGCACTTCAGTTAGACCAGCCGGAGCCCCAGGGCTCTTCCTGTCTCCAACTCCTACCTCTGGGGTTGTGTGTGTGCTGCCATACCTGGCTTTTTATGTGGGTGCCAGGAATCCAAACTCAAGTCCTAAGGTTGTTCAGTAGGCTATCCCCTGAGCCTGGCCATTTTGTTTCTTACTTTTTATTTCTTTTGAAAGATAGAAAGACAATGGGAGGGGAGTAGAAAATACATATATCACAGCATGTGTGTGGAGGTTCAAGGACAATTTTCAGGAGTCAGTTCTCTCCTTTCACCATGTGGGTTCCGGGGACTGAACTCAGGTCCTTAGGCTTGGAAGCAAATGCCTTTACCCACTGAGCCATTTGTCAGCCGTTAGTTAGCTAGCTAGCTAGTTATTGAGGTAGGGTTTCTGTAGCTAGGTTCAGGCTCACCCTGAACTTGCTATGTAGCCCAGATGATCTCAAGCTTATGATCCTCCTGCCTCCTCTTCCTGAGTGCCAGGATTATAAATGCGTGCCACCATGGCTGCTGTAAAGTCTTTCTTTAGCCCTGTCACCACAGCCAGGCTCCCTTCCCTCCTTTCTTTATGTGCAGCTCCCACATCCCTTCCAGGAAGGGGCCTCTGTGATGCGTAAGCCAGAAGATGCCCCCTGCCAAGTAATCACTGCCTGGTAATGCCCCTGTCACAGACCAGGCCTCTATGTTGGGAGCTTCAGAGGGAGACTCTTACTTAATCCTCTGCTCAAAGACAGGGATTCTCTTTTCTTGTATAGATAAGGTCCCTGAGGGTCAGCTGGCACACTTATTTTAGGATTTAAAACTGTCTTGATAATCCAAAGCTGGTACCCCATTGTGCTGGCCTCCCTCCTCTGTATAGGAAAGGATGAACTATGTGTGTGGGTGGCAGAGAGAAAGAGAGAGAGGTCTTCTCCTCCAGCATAGAAGATTAGGAGAAAGGGGCCACCCCCCTGCAGCCAGGCACTGTGGAGCCAGGTCTCTGGAAAGTCATTTGTAGCTTGTTAAATTGGAAAGAAAAAAAGCAAGCAAGCAAGCAAACAAGACATAAAAAGACAGAAAGAAACCCAGGGCTTCCAAGACGGCATGGAGTAAGAGAGCTTGCGGCTAAGTCCAACAATCTGAGTTTGATCCCCAGTGCACAGGGGAAAAGTAGAGATGTGAAAACAACCTGCGTTCTGACCTCCACACTGACAGTGGCGTGTGTGAGCCCCACTCCCGCACACAAGCAAATAAGTAAATGGTCTTAAAAATATGTTTTAAGTAAAACAGCCTAGTTATTTATTTATTTAAGAATTCTTATGTTGAAGAAGAGGCTCAGAGAGGGGCCTAATCAGGTCCTAGATCACACAGTGGCCAAGGGACAGAGGCCTAGTTCTAAGGACTTGTGTGAAGTCCCTGAGGACAGGACATTAATAAAGCCGGTGCGTCTGCAGCAGAGGATGCCTCGGGCTGGGGGCACTGTCAGGGGAGGGCTAGGAGTAAGGACCGGAAATGGCTGGCTCCTGCTGAGTGGAGAGTTCTGAGATTCTGGGAGGTATGGGGATGGATACAGAGCTGGGGTGGCAGAGAGCTGAGGCCCCAACCCTCCCCCTCAGGCAACAGCGGTGATTGATGAAGACAGCCGGCAGCTGGAGCTTGAAGTGCTGAAGGCCTCTGGAGGCTTCCGAGGGGAGGGAGGGTGAGAGGCTATGAATATTTCAGAGGCTGAGGCCAAGGCTGAAGGAAAAGAGGGAGGGAGGGAAGGAGCAGGAAAATGGGGGCACTCAGGGATCTGGAAAGGCAGGTGTCAGTGATGGGGGAGGGGCCTTTGAAAGAGTAGGGAATCAACTAAGGGAAAGGGGGGTCAGTAGGGCCCCCAGGACAGGACAACGGGGAGGAGTAAGGAGAGGTTCAGTGAATGGGAAGGATCTTACTGTTTTGTTGCTGTTTGAGACAGGCTCTCTTGTAACCCAGGCGGCCTCAAACTCTCTTAAGCATCAGAGAATGGCCTTGAACTCCTGATCCTTCCGCTAACCTCCCAAGCGCTGGATTTATAGGTGTGCCCTACCATCCCAGCAGATGCTGCAGATGGGATCCAGGGCCTCATGAGCGCTAGGCAAGCACCTTGCCAACCCTGCGTTCCCGAGCTTTTGGTTTTGTTTTGTTTTGGTGTGTGCGCGCGTGTTACCTGGAATGGAACCTAGGGACTCTCTATAGGCCGGTGGTATACGCTGAGACCGAAGCCCGTCCCTGGGTAATTTTATGCAAGTACTCTACCTCGAAGCTGCAGCCCTATTCGCTCGCTCACTCACTCATTCACTCACTCACTCACTCACTCACTCACTCACTCACTCACTCACTCACTCATTCTTACCTAGGTTGATCACACAGGCCTTCAACTTGAAAGCTTTCTGCCTCAGCATTCCTAATAGTTGATGTAATAGGCCTGAGTTACAGGCTTGGGTTTTCTTTCTCTTTTGCAAAGCACTGTTTTCAGAGTTTGGGTTCCTCAGATCTTCCTCAGACCCTCCAGGGCTGCTGTTGGCCCCCTGGTCTGCAAGCACAGGCCCCTCTCCCCAGCCGCAGACAAGCCGGGGCATCAGGCTGGGCCAAAGCAACGTGCCCAGGCTGCAGCAGCGGGAAGGCCACCCTCGAAGGCGGCTGGGCAGCGTCTGTGTCTCTCCGTAGTGTGGCAGAGACCCCGCGGCGGATGGAGGGCTTGGAGCCGGGCCTGGAGTACCCGCCCTTCGATGAGGACGACGGCCCTGTGGATTGCGACTGCCCGGTCGCCTGCTACCGCGGGCACCGGGGGTACAGGTGAGCGGCCGCCACGGCGGAGGGGAGGGCAACGCGGGGCCGCCTCCCTCACCGTCCCTGCTGCCCCTTCTCGCCCAGGACCAAGCACTGGTCCAGCAGCTCCGTCTCGCCCCCTCCCAAGAAGAAGAAGAAAAAGAAAGGCAGTCATCGGAGGAGCCGGTGAGAGCGCCGCATGTCCCTAGGGAGAGAGACGGGAGGGGCCTTGGGCTGCCCATCTTGGGCACACTTGGGACACAGAGGCTACTCTTGGGATCTGCGAATTTAAACCCGCCCCCTCTCTGTCTTGCAGCGGAACCCCCTCCACCTTAGTCCCGCCCACTCGTTTAGCCCCGCCCCACTCCCGCTCCCACTAGGTAGTCCTATCCTCCCAGGGTTCAGGAAACACCATCCCAATTGTGTGTGTTCCTGAGAAGGGAGCCATTGCCGGGCCTCAACTACAACCCCCCCCCCGACATTTGTGTCCCCTCCCTGAGGCACACGCTGGGACCACTAGCTAACCGGTTCTTGTGTCTGTCCTTTCTCTCTGGCATCAGCAAAAAGCGGAGACTAGAGTCAGAATGCAGGTCAGTGATGGAGGGGACAGGAAAGGGAGTGGGGCTGGGGCCAGGGCGGGGGCACCTGTGGGTTGGAAAGAACCCAAGGCCACTTCCAGAGACAAGGCCTGGCACCTCAGGGGTTGGGCTCTCTGGTGCCAGTGTTTGTATACCCAGCCCAGAAATCCCAAGGGCTGGAGATAGTTCAGCCTTGGTGAGTTCACTTAATGCAAGGCCCTGGGTTCTATCTCCAGCATGGTAAGAAAACAAGACCCAAGAAAGCCATTTCCCTTCCCCTAAACATGATTGGGGGCACATTCTTGTGACCCAACACTTGAGTGTAAGGCTAGCCTGGGCTACATGGCAAGACCTTTCCCCAAACAAACAAACAAAATTTAAAAACCAAGCAAACCACATAAAGGATATGAAGATATCGCTGCGTGCGTGCCTGGAAAGCATAAGGGCCTAAGTGTGACCCCTGGAACACACACACACACTGACACGCACACAGACACATACACAGACACACACACACAGACACACACACACATGAAAGGAAAAAGGTGACTGAAGGGACAGGCAATGGCAGCAAGTTTAGGAGTCTCAACACTGACCCATTGCTTTAGATCGTTCTATACAAGGGGCTTCAGGCTTTGTAGCTTGGGGCCCCTTCCCAGCTTCTGTGCCCCACGCCCCTTCAGCCATGCCCATCCTCTCCCCTCCACCCCCAGCTCACTAGTGCCCACCCCTGTGTCCACAGCTGTGGGAGCACCTCTCCCCTCCGCAAGAAGAAGAAGGCTGTGAAGAAGCACCGTCGAGATAGGTACTTTGCCCTCTCCACCCACTCCCGCCCCCACGGCCTGCCTCGGTCCCTGGGCTCCAGGTGGACGGTGCTCCTTGGTGGCCGTTCCCAGAGAGGCTTTATCACCCCACAGGTCTGAATCTGGGTCCCGAAGGAAGAGACGGTACAGGTGAGCTGTGCCTTCCTGGGCGGTACACAGAGGTTGCCGGTCTCCCTTAGGGAGCAAAGCCCAGAAGGGGGGGTCCCCGAGTCCAGGCTGGCCCGTCCTCCACTCCAAAGACTCTTTCACTGATGCAAATGGGGCTGGAAGACAGGTAAGCTGAGAACTGCTTTTAGCCTTTGCCTGACTCCAGTCAGCTCCCATGAAAAGCCTCAAGAACTTCCAGAAAGAACTGCAAGTCCTGTGTCCGGAGAGTGGTGTCCGGAGGTGCCCTCTTTGAAGACGGAAGCGACAGGACCCTGAGTGGCAGGGAAAGGGGCATCGCAGGCCAAAGCATGTCTGTGACCTGGGGTGGCTCGGGGTAGAAGACAGGGTGGCCAGGCTGTGGCTAAGGTGGAATTTCTGGCCTACAGGTTGCTAGCCTGTGCAGGCCTGACTGTCAGGCCATGGTGCTGGCCTCAGGGGTGACTGGAGGAAAGGGGGACCCAGGCAGTAACTAGGAGGGATTTAAAGATATAAGCCAGTTGCACCCTCCCGCAGCCCTGAGCAGGTGCAGTCTCCAGGCCCTTCCCTCGGTGGAATTTACCAAAAGCCTTTTGTTTAGAAAAGCCTAAACAACTCCCCCATTCTATCCTTTCTGTTTTTCCCAATTTCCCAGTTCTGTCCTCCCTCCGTCCTTCCCTCCCAAGATAGATGGGGAGCGTGTACCTCTGCTGCCCCCTAGTGGCCACCATCCTATGTACAGCCCCTTTGACCAGGACAAGACCTGAGCCATTACTGCTTCATCAGCTTCCTGATGAAACTGAAGCCCAAAGCAAGCTGTGCCCTCCTCCCCGAGTCCTTTCGTCGTTTTCCCCTTGGAGGAAGTACATTAGGTGTTTGTTATATTTGTTCAGGATTTGGTGGCATCGGAGGGGGGGTATATAATGCGGGATTATACAATGTTTATATTGAAGACAGAAGGTGACAGACGGCATGGCTCGTGGCAGAACTCCTGCTTTCCTGTACCCCGGCACCACATGCCTACACGCCCTTCTTCACGAAACCTGGCTGTACCCTGTGGAGTGAGATGGGCTGGTCCCTCTCAGCCAGGGAGGTTCAGGCCTAAGCGAAGAGCAAACCGGAGTTGCGCGTCTGAGCTCGGCGGGGCGCCAACACGCCACTGTCACTCTTGGGCCAGCTTGCTGTACTCAGATTCAGTCTCTGCTTCCTGCAGATCTCAAAGCCTCAAGGGCAAAAGGAAAGAGAAAAACAAAGAGCGCAAGAGGTAAGCCCGCCCTCCGGTCTCCCCTCCCCAAACCTGGCCTGTGGCTCCCCAGCACCAACCTCTTCAATCTACTTAAAGCCAAAAAGGGTAGCTGCTAGACGGACAAGTTTTCAGGGGAAGCCCTGTGAGCAGTGGCCACTTGTAGGCCCCTTGCCACCCATGCCTCCTTTCTGCCCTCTGACCCTTTCACCCACGCCTCTCCATCCCAAGAAGACTAGGTGAGAGATGAGCCGGCCTTTGGAAGTTGGGGCTATCTCCAGGCAATGGCGCTTTCCCCTAACTCTCAGAGGTGACTTTGGAGACCCCAGCCCCAGCCCCAGCCCCATGCTGGTGATTTTTATAGGTGCTGGGGCTGGGGCTGACCCCACAGGGACCCGACTCAGTTACCTACACTAAATCCCTGAGGTCAGGCCCGGCTGCACCATGGTCACGGCAAATAAGGCTTCCCCTTCCGGCCCTCCCCTTGCCCACACCAGGCCTCACACCGAGTCTCCAGGCCGAAGGTCTCACCACCACAGCAGCGCCAGTTCCCACAGCCCCTCGGTGTCCTCCCACGACAGCGACTCCGGATCTCCCAGCAGGTAGGCTGACCCTGGGCTCACTCAGAAGGGAAACTCCGGGCTGGCCCCCGGGGCTGCATAATCCACCTCTGCAATCCCAGCACTTTAGAGATGGGGGGAATCAGAAATTCAAGGTCATTCTAGACTAGATGTGGAGTTGAAAGCCAACCTGAGCTGCAGGAGACCCTGTCTCAAAAAAAAAAAAAAAAAAAATATATATATATATATATATATATATATATATATATATATATATATATATATATATAAACTCAAGGTGGGGGTGGGGGGCGAAGACAATGTTGCGTCCCTAAGGGCTGAGGTGCTGCGCCTGTGCGCCTCAGTTCAAGCAAACTGGTGTCCGCCTGGAGAAAGAGCATAAATGGGAAGTCGAGGCAGGGCAGGGCGGGCTCGCTCGGGTTGCTCTCGTCGTGAAAGCGCGAGTCGGGAACCAGGTCGCCTGCAGAGGGGGCGTCCCACGCCGGCTCCCCGCATCCCTCCGCTCCCCCAGGCTGAGCCCCAAACATCGCGACGACGGGCGGAAGACGGGCAGCCAGCGATCCAGCGGGAGCCGGTCGCCCTCCGCCTCGGGCGGCAGCGGATGGGGGTCGCCCCAGCAGAACGGAGGCAGCAAGCAGCGAAGCGGAACGCACGGGGGCCGCCCCGGTTCGGCGCACAGCCCGCCCGATGTACGTAGGCTTGGCTTTGCGGAGGGGTCGCCGCGCCGCTCGCGCGGGCCGCGCAGGGTGGGGCCGGGTAGCCGGAGGGGCGGGGCCGCGATGGGTCGCTGGGAGACCCCACAGATGCTCTCTCCTTTCCCAGCCTTCCGACCTGCCCTCCCCAAGGGGCGTCGGGTGCCAGGAGTCGCCTGGATTGCTCGGTTGGATGTCGGTTGGCTGCTGTTCCCACCTGGGCGTGGTGGTCTGGTGAGGGGGGTGGGCACTTGGCAGAGTGACGGTCAGAGGAGGTCTGACCTTTAGGGATAGCTGGGGTACGCCGCCGCTGGGGGTGAACGGAGGTTTCTTGCCAACTGTAACTACCTGTAAACACCGTAGTCAGGAACCAGAGAGAAGTGACTCAAACTCCAGAGCGATACCAACGCCCTTACCCCCTCACTGAGTCTTTCCCTCCCTTAACCCCTTCCGTTAGTCCTTCCCATCTCTCTCGGGACCCTGCAGTGTGCTTCTTTGGTACTTGGCCCCAGCGCTTGGACCGTATCTCGAACCTGGCAGCCTCACTCCGCAGGCTTGTCATTACTGAGACAACATTCCTACTGCCGCCAGGGCGTCCCCACCCAGCCTCAGAGGGACAGAATTCCCTCCAGACCTGCAGGCAGGTGAGGGCGTCGTAGGAGATGAACACGAGATCGGTCTGTCTGTCAGTCAGAGCGCGAGGTTGAGATCTCTCAGTGAGGGAGTGCCGCAGAGCTGACAGGGCCACTGGGTGTGCTCAAGAGGCCTCATCCCAGTAGGGACCTGCCCCTCCTCAGACCTCAGGTCCCAGCAGCCAACACGAAACCCCTACTTGTCAGTTTCCTTTTGAGTTTTTATTTTTTCGGTTGTTTTCTTTCACTCCCTTCCGTTCCTGGAGTCCTCTTCCTCCTGTGGTGTCAGGGAGGAAGGTGAAGGGAGGCAGGCGCAGAGCTTTCGTTCTCAGAATGTCTATGGAAGAACCTGCCTCTAGACTGTCCTGTCTGGAAAGACTACCAGGTTCTTGGCCTAGTGCCTGGGGCTGTGGTTAGGCCACAGTTCAGAAGGACGCTGGTGTCTCTTGGATCTGTCTGGGGAATGGGAGAGGGGACAAATGGATATCTTACAGCAGCCCGCGGGGGCTGGAATTGATGTGCTAACCTAAAAAGAAGAGTGGCCATTCCCAAACTTCCTGGGCACCAAGACCTACCAGCACAGTTCCCCATCTGTGTGGTGCCTAGCTTCTTGCAAGATCTTCTTGCAAAGTCTCCTTTGAGACCCCAAAACACAGACTTTTTTGTTTTTCCAAACCAGGGCTGAAAGTAGGCCCTGTTCCATTTCTGTTCCCTTCTGTGGGGTCTTGGAAATCTGAGTAACTTCCTTCCATGTACACTGTCCATCCCAAGGGTCCTGTAAACAAAATGGCTACAGCAGCCAGCCCTGGGCAAGTACTGACAAAATGGCAACAGTAACTAGATGGCTTGTGTGGCAGCCAGCAGTAGGTCTAGGAAACACTTTGTAGCTCCTGTCCCAGAACAGGACTCCATTTTCACAAGGCCAAGGAGTTTTCCAAGAACACTGTTTACTCTTATCACAAAAGCTATCACCAAGCGCAGCTCTGAATCCTCTCTCTCACCCTTGCATCCTGCACAATCTGAGACTTTGAACAACCTGGGTCTCCAACCTACACGATCCTCTCTTTAACAAAAAACGAAAAAGAAAACAAAACACCTCTGATGGGGGTTTGGGGGTGGTGTTAAAAAGACTAGTTCTTGGTACCCAGAAAGGTGAGATGGGGGAGGGCTGGGGTGTCAATAGCCTTTACTATTTCAAAAAAGAAATTGTCTGTGGGCATAAATACTGGGGGTAGGAATTTAAGACACTATCTTGAAGAAAAAGAGAGAGAAAGAAATGGGGGGGGGGGAAAAGAGAGAAGCTCAACATTTTTTTAACCCCGCCTATGTCTTTGTTTGTTTTTTAGCCTCCCATTTGAAACGTGGTAATACTATAATTCCATATCTTGTTTAGCTGAGGGTGGGGGAGTTTATGTAATTTTTTTCCTATTATTTTGGTTTTTGTTTGTGTTTCCTTTTTATTTATTTTAAAAAGTTTTTGTAATGTAATGAAATGCAAGCTATCTTTATGGATTTGTTTTGGGTTTTTTTTTTTTTTCTTTTTTCTCTCTTCTGTGTTCTAGAACTTTGCTTTTGTGTCTGTTACTGTGGAAGCCTTTCTTCTAATGCAGAGCTGGTGTTTGAATTTCAAGTCTACGTTAGTCATACCCATATCTTTATATATTTTCTTCTCTTGTGATCAGAATTTAAAAGGAAACACAACTGCAAGTAAAAAATAGCAGCCATATCACAACACCTGCTGAGTAAGAAGGGGCAGTTAAGCCCTCTTGTTAACCCCAGGGAACACACTGGAATCATCTCATTTTAAATGAGTAACACTGGTATTTGTGTCCACAGGGGACCTTGCAAGAAGCTAGGCACCACACAGGAAGGGACTTGTCCTGTGTTAATAACAGTGCTGTGGAAGGGCAGGAGAAGCCAGTATCAGGCCCCACCTCAGAGACAGAGGCAGGCAGAGCTCTGAGTTCGAGGCCAGCCTGGTCTACAGAGCGAGTTCTGGGACAGCCAGGGCTACACAGAGAAACCCTGTCTCAGAAAAAAGAAAGCCTGGAGGGGTCTGAAAGTTTTCCAAACTAGGCATTGTAGACTAGAGAAAAACACTGTTCTAGTTTGGTGACAAGCCATTGGGTATCTCTATTCAAATAATAATAATAGTGTGTGTGTGTGCGTGTGTGTGCGTGTGTGTGTGTGTGTGTGTATGTATATAGATACTCCATCTGAAAAATACAACCAGGCCTGGTGATGTCCACTTGTAATCCTAGCACTTGGAAGGCTGACAAAAGAGGATCACAAGATCAAGGCCAGCCAAGGTCACTCTTGGTAACATAGTCTGAGAAAGAAAAAAAAAATCAAAAGTAAAAGCAAAAGGAGAGCTTGGGATGTAGCTCAGCAGCAGAGCGCTGGCCTACTGTGTGCAAGGTCCTGCATTCAGCCCGTAGCACTATAGAAAAAAAGCAAGACATATGGATGGAGCTGAGTTGGCAGTATTTGCCTAGTGTGCACAATGCCTTGGATTTTTTCTCTAGGACCAGGTGAAATCCAGCATGGCTGTGTACACTTGGAATCCCTGCATCTGAGCGGTAGATGCAGGAGAATCGTGTATTTGAGGTCAGCCTCAACATCCTATTAAGTTCAAGGCTAGCCTGAGCTGTGTGAGTCTCTGTCTCAAAAAGCAGATAAACAAAATGATCATCTGATCTGAGAGGCAAGATCCGTCTTTCAAGTTGAACTCGTGGTTGATTTTCCTTTTAAACATGCAGGTCCTCTTCCACCCTCTCCATCCTTCCCACTGGCCTCACTTAAACAGCCTCCCTCTTGTTTGACCTTTCTGTTCCCTCCCTCCCTCCCTCCCTCTCTGCCTGTTTTTCCTTTCCATCTCTCTCCTCCTGACTTGGGCTTCTTCCCTAAGCTACCTGCCCATTTTCTATCTACCCTGTGGTTTCTGCATTCATTAGCTGCTGCATGCATGCCCTCTGGGGAGTTTGCCATGTAAAGAATTAAGGAAAGCGTGGCTACTGGAGCCTGTGGTTAAAGATTTGTAAATAAAGAAATAGATAAATAATGAATCTACCAGGGGTGGCTGACAAGTGGCCTTTCTGTCCCTGAGGGTGGCACCCAAAAGCCATAGGACAGGCTGTTTCCTCCTCTGCTGGCTCAGGGCAGGGCTCCATTTGGGAGTCGCCACTGTCCCACATTCCCTGTGCAGAGACGGTCGCATCCATGCCCCGACTTGTGAGAAGCTGGGATGCCAGCTGTGTGCCCGCTCTCTACCGCTCATCTCAGAGAAGTCTGGCCAACCTGCTTAGTCTGAACTCAGTCTCTCTCTCTCCTCTCCCCTCCACTTAGCTCTAAGTTGGTTTGATTTTTATTTTCTCTTTTCTCTCTTTCTTTAACTAACCTTTTATTTGCACTTTCTCCAAACTCAGCCACCACTGAACTATCTGTCCCCTGGCTCACGGTTTGGTTTCCTTCACTCTCCCTCCCGAACCTCTGATGACTTTGCAGGTTCATCTTCCCTCCTTCCCGTCTCCCCTGCCTCTGCTTCTTCCTCTTCACCTCCTGATCCAGCCCCAAGCCCTCCTCCACTCTTCCTCATTATCATTTTATTGGCTGAATGCAATTGTGTGTGGTTTGACATTCAACCTTGTGTCTCTTCCTGTACTGGGTGCTTGCAATGAGGCCAATTTGATTGCTACTGTTTGGAATGGTTGCCGAACCCTTCCTCCTTGCCAGCTAGCTTCTAGCTAGGGGCTTTGGTCACACAGACTCCAGTCCTCCAGGCCCCACCGAGACTGTAATCATTAGAAGGGTGGCCTGGAAGAACCTCTTGGCTCCAGATCTGGAAGGAAGTTCTGGCTCAGGGTCAAGTTCAAAGTTAAGTCCCATTGCTCCTTGGGGGCTGACTATACCAGGCTGAACTCTAGACTTAGACAAGTCCTTTCACAACAGGACAATGGAGCTCAGAGGTGCAAGCTTCGGGGGCTGGGACCCCAGTGGGCATTAACACCATGGAGAATCACAGCTCTGGGACTTATAGGTAATGATGGGGTGACCTCAGAGGGTCTGGGGCAGGCCAGGGCAGGAGCGAGGCGCTGAGAACTTACCCGGCCAAGACTCTCCAGGGTGATATTCAGAATGGTATAAAATCTTAGAGGCTCCGCCACGTCCCCAGTGTCCTTCCTGCTTCCGAGTTTCTGAGTTTGAGCAGTTTAATGGTAACCCTTGGTGCAGAACAATCCAGAAGAGACAGTTGATAATGGCCAGAGTGACTCTAGAATGAGCATTGTATATATCACATGAGATTTTGTGATTGCCGCTCCAGTGCCCAACTAGCTGTATGGAAAGTGGCAGAGGCAGGAGTGGGTCCTTGGGACCATCTCCTCACCTTTTTCCTACCCAGTAGCCATTGTGAGGTCTCGGCAACCCTCCATCTTCAACTTTGGAAAGGAAAGAGTTAGATACTTTTCCCACACTTATCCCAGGAAGGGTCAGGACAGTTCACTCCTCAGAACACTCTGTCTTGAACAATGCTTGCTGGGAGGGAGATGACAACATCGTTCTTCAAAAGGGAGGAAGGTGTTGCGTGTCTAAAGGGGAGAAGGGTTCCAGCCTGAGGACTCGGGGGCTCCACCCTTCAAGTTTTCCTGGATCCCAATAAAGGGCAGACACAGTGAGACAGAGGCAAGCAGGCATCAGTCCTAGGTGCACAGAGGACACAAAGGCAAACCACTCCAGACGGTTTCTTGTCTTTATCCCCTTTCTCTATCCTTCAACTGTTTTTCTCCTTGACCCTCAAATTTTTTCTATATTGGGGGGGGGAGGGGAAGATGTCAGTAGCAAAGCCAAGAAAATAACATAGTGCTGGCTTCACAAACATGAGGACCTGAGTTCAAGCCCCAGAACCCACAGTAGAAAGCCAAAGATGGCAATTTGTGCTTCTAATCCTAGATCTGGGAAGGCAGCAGCCGAAATATCTCTAGGGCTTGCTCATCAGCCAACCTGGCTTAAGTGACCAGCCCTGGCTCCTCGAAAAAGCTCAGTGAGTAAAGGTGCTTGCTTGCCACCAAGCCTAGTGGCCTGAGTTCAATTCCTGGGGCTTACACAGTAGAAAGAGAAAACCAGCCACCTCAGGTTGTCTTCTACATGTGCGCGCACACACACACACACAAATGTAACTTAAGACATATAAATGCTAACAATAAAATTAAAAAGGTGGCTGGCTCCTAGAGAATGATTACCCAAGAATAATGTCTGGCCTCCATATGCACACACATACAAATGCACCTCCACACATAAACACAAACACACATACACCCAATGTGAGAGAAAAAAAAAAGGAAGGAAGGAAGGAAGGAAGGAAGAAAGGAAGGAAGGAAGGAAGGAAAGAAAGTCCATAAGCCCTGGATTTCACTCAACCCCTAGGAAGAATGAGGCCAGCCAAGTGGAGGATGAGCACAGCCTCTGACAGGATCATGGCGACCTTTTCTTGGCAGTTTCTGGAGGGATGAGACCTTCTCCAAGGACTCCCTGACAGCACCTTCATTCCCATCTTCTGCCATCCTGGGCTTCAGGGAGCCCTCTCCATTTGACCCTAGGCCTTCTTCCCCTGCTCTGATCCTTTTAGTCTGTCAGGGGACATATAGGGCTAATCCTTTTCTAGGCCAACTCAACTAAGGTTCTAGTAGCCCCCATTTTATCAGTGGGGAATCGGGGTCCACTTAGGATGAGACTTAGCTAAGTTCCCATAATCAACTTGAATTGGCTCAAGGGGTTCTTCCTGGGCTGGGGTGAGATCAGTAGTCTCAAAAGGGATCAGAGAAAAGTGATGGGGACCTGAGACTTCAAGACATACTAGGTAGGAAGCCACCATCTTGGTTTGGGCCTCATTGGCTGGGGACAAAAACATATTGAGGGTGTTCAGCTATCTAATCAGACCATTTCCATTCCTGATATTCTACCCCAGTTCCAGTGTGAGACAGTGGGAAGTCAAGATGGCTTTGCATGGGTCTGGGAATGTAGCTCAGTCACCAGTGTTTGCCTAGCATGCATGAAGCGTTGGGTTATAAGACAACTCACCAGGTGTGGTGGCGCAAGCACCCAGGGAGGCGGAGGCAGGCAGATCTCTGTGAGTTCAAGGCCAGCTGGTCTACAAAGCAAGTCCAGGACAGCCAGGGATACACAGAGAAACTGTCTCTAAAAAGAAAAGAACAAAGACAACTAAGACAAACAACTGATAAACCAGGCATGGTGGTTCATGTCTATAACCATGGCACTCATGGAGGTGGAGACAGGCAGAGCAGAAGTTCAATGTATGACAAAATGTGATGGCGATGGTGGCATGGCTGTTGTGGAGGTAAACAGCCATCTTTTTAGTTAAAAAATTTAAAGTTTAAGGTCAGCTGGGCTTGGTGCTGTAATCCCAGCACTTGGGAGGTAGAGGCAGGTGGATCCCTATGAGTTTGAGGCCAGCCTGGTGTACAAAGCAAGTCCAGGACAGCCAAGGCTACACAGCCAAACCCTGTCTGTCTCTCTCAAAAGAAGTTCAAGGTCAACTTTGGCTACATACTGAGTCCTAACTGAGCTTCATGGAATTGTGTTAGAAGTGCCAGAGGGAGGGGCTGGATTGCAGCTCAGTGCCAGAGCAGCGTGCCAGCACACATGAGGCCTGGGTTCAGTCTCTTGTACTGAAGAGGAAAAAAGGTGGGAGTGGGTTCCTTCATATCTGACTTGATCTTTCTCCTTGACCCTGTTCCTTGCATCAAGTCGGCGCTCTGGCTGGTTTCGATCCCAGTATGCAGTCCTTCATGACTGGCCTTGCTGCCTCCCCTGCGCAGAGCAGCCTTAAAGGAGGGGCCCATGGTGGCCCTGGATTGCGAGTTAGCACGCATTTGTCCCTAAGGCTCCCTTCCCTGATACTTCTGTTTACTCGACAAGCTGACCACCCTGGCACAGGATGCCTTTGAAGATCCTAGAGACATTCTTTTTCATTTGCCTCCTAGAAGGAAATTCAGTGAGAAAACCTTGGTACAGACTGGGACTGTGAGGTGTTCCCTGTCTGCTGAGGGTGGGTGGAGAGCTGAGGGTTCCCCTGGGGAAGCCTTTTATGAATGAAAGTACCTTTACAACAACCAGCCTCAGCTGGGCATAGCGTAGCATAGCTGGCACTAATCCAGCACTTGGGATGCAGAGGCAGAAGGCTTCAGGAGTGTAAAGTCATCTTTAGCTACACAGAGAATTTGAGGCCGGCCTAGGCTACATGAGACCCTGTCTAAGTTTTGGTTGTTTGGTTGTTTGTTTGTTTGTTTGTTTGTTTTTAAATGGGGCTGGGGATATGCTCAGTCAGTAGAGTGCTTTCGAAGCATGTATGCATGAAGCCCTGGGTTTGAACCCCAGCACTGCATAAAAACACCTATGATCCCAGCACTCAGACGGTGAATCAGAACTTCAACTAGGTCAGGAGTCCAGGCCAGCCTCAGCGACATGAGACCTTGTCCAAAATAAACCAGAACTCAGCGTCCAGTTTGCCTCGACTGAGCTGGTCTGTAAGTGAAGGCTGCTTAGTGGGATGACTGCTAGATCATACCCGCTCTGGCCATCTATGCCTGCTGCTGCTTTGGGAGAAAGATCAGCTCCCCTAGGAGAAGTCTTCATGGCCGCACTGACTCCGTCAGCTAGTGCTCATTGATTGCTTTAGCCACCAATCACAAACTGACTTTACATTTCCAGCAATGAGGCCCACTCTGAGCTTTAGTTCTTTGTGGGCTCTATGCAGGCCTGAGGAGAGGTCGGTGCCCCTGATTACCTCTGTCAGAGACAGCCAGGCCCAGCAAAAATCATGCTTTCTTATCGGTGATAGCAAGGCCCCTGAAAGAGTCAAAGAGGCAGCTGAATGGACTCAGCTCAGACCCCTTCTGCCACCTGGACCTCCCCGATTGGCCCTTAGTAGAGCCAGTTCTTCCTCAGCTAATACTATTAAGGATGTATTGTCCTGCTTTGTGCTAAAAATTGAGATTATGCCCAACAGTGGCGATACATGCCTGTATCTCAGCATTCAGGACACTGAAGCAAGAGGATCTCAAGCCCAAGGCTATACAGTAAGACCTTGTCTAGAAACAAAACAAGCTGGACATGTGGTGTGCTTTCGTAATCCCAGCACGAAAGAGGTGACATCTGTAGAATCATGAGTCTAAGGACATCTTGGGCTGCATATTGACTTCTAGTTTCTCCAGGCCAGCCTGTGCTACATGAGGTCCAGGCAAGAAAAAGAAAGGAGCTGGGGGGGGGGCACACACCTTTAGTCCCAGCACTCAAGAGGCAGAGGCAGGCAGCCTGGCATACAGAGGAAGTTCCAGGACAGTCAGGGCTACACAAAGAAACCTTGTCTCCAGAAAAAAAGAAAGGAAGGAAGGAAGGAAGGAAGGAAGGAAGGAAGGAAGGAAGGAAGGAAGGAAGGAAAAGAAAGAAAGAAGGGAAGACAGACTCTTGCACACATACCTTAGTCACAGCATCGGGAGGTTGAAGCAAGCGGATCTCAAGGCTAGCCAATGCTACAAAGTACATAATGAGATTCTGTCTCAAGCAAGCAAACCTGAGGTTATGGACAGCAGTCTGGCCGGGCAGCGATTGTGGAAGTGTCAAGGACAGGCCAGTAAGCAGAATAGTGGCAAGAACAGTAACATCAGCTCTTACAAGGTTGGGGCCCAAGGTCAGGAGGGTCTTTCTGTGGAGGGAAGGGTGGGGAGGCTGGGGAGGGCACAACCAGAGAATCCTGGACTATTTACCCCGGAAGACACTTTGGGAAGCCAAAACCAAACCCTCACTGTGCGGGTGGGCAAACCTGAGGCCTAGACTGGGGAAATTAACTTGTCCAGGGCCCCGTGGTGCTGAGGTAGCAGCAGGCTAGTTCCCAGCCAGGACCTTGGATCCTGCAGGTTCCCTTTCTGGTCCTAACTCAACTCTTGG